ATACATATACAACGTATTTGGATAAGTGTGAACTTTAGTGTGCACACTTATTTTTAAGTGCAGTTCGTATACACGGGTTCTTTTGTCAGAAACTATTTTGTGCGGTGATTACCGCACGATATTCGATTTTATCCATTTTATAAAAAATCTCGAGGTTACTTCGTATGCAATGCTGTTGAAAACAAACGATGACAGATATAAACTCAATTTTTTTTTCTAAAATACTAGTGACATTTTGTACGTGAATTACAGCACAAGAACAATATGTAGCTAGTGCCACCTATATGTCAGGCTTAAAACTTTTGCCTCCCCCTGTATTTAGCTGCAACCGTCACCGGATTGAAATTTAATCCGAGTTTAATTACAATTGCGAACAGACTGCTACTTCTAACTAATCATTAACAGCGAACTGTCTAAGAATTGCGCCTTAGTTGTAGCAAATTAGGTGATTATTATTTACGATTGAATGTTATCGTTATTCACAAAATTTGTTTTTTTTCTTCCAGAAACTGCGTTTATACGAAAGGACTGTGTGGGATCCACCTCCTCCGAAAGATAAACTTCCATTTTCAGTTTTTGGGTTGATATGATTTCATACTATATTGGATCGAGAAATGATATGGGTTCAATATACTGTCTTCAAATTTTGTGATGGTGTTACAGTTCAATAAAATCACGAAATTATATTTCGAGTAGAAGTCTTATATTCAATCTCGGGTATTCAAGTATAAAATAACGGTTTTACTTAATTCGAGATTAAAGAATTAGCCATACCTCTGAGTTTTCCGAATGTTTGAACAAAATATGGATTTTAAAATGTTTTACAACAATTGATTTCTTGTACGAATTCATTTTTACAAATAAAACAGATAAAATCCATAAAGTCTGTCACTGGTTGAGTTTACCATTTTTGTGCTTACCTACATCCGAGTGTACGAAATAAATCACTCTGAAATTCTTACAATATTTTAATATCAAATCGTAAAAGTCACCATTCATCCAACAACGTCAATATTTCACAATTTCCAGTTGGTTTAAAATGCTCTTTTGGTATTCATAACTGATAGCATAAGATTAAGTAGTTATTTGACATCAAATTCACTGATGTGCAAGTATTTTAATCGTTTTTTTTTCGTTTCGGCTGAAATGAAAACTAGGCAAATACGAAGTTCATAATGAAAGTTTCATTTATTATTCAATTCTTACATTTTAAAAATATAAAAATTTATTACACTGACGAAATGTGTTGGACGGAATCGTTTATAATGTGAAGGCACCGCTTAATATAAAGAATAAAAAGTCAATGTGCGGAAACTTGATTGTTTTCAATTACGATTGAATCAAATCAGCCACAAAATTTGTCATGTTAACGGAAATCGTTCCGATGAATGTTGAATCTGTATGATAATTGACATTGGTTAAATGAAAAAAAAAACTCGCGAGGGGAAGACTGGCTTAATTTCTCGCCATATCCCGATATCGTTAACACAAACACTACTAAAAATCAGTGACAACGAACAAAACGGTTCAAATTGAAAATTTCGCGAAAAATATATCGGTGATACTATTTCTGACTTAAGATTCGTGCGTTATTTTTCTATAGTTAAAAAGTCTTAGATTATAATTTTGCTTTAGCAAATGATTGTGTTTGTTTTCTCTTGTTCGAACTAATTGGAATGTTGTACTTATTAAATCTAGAAAAAAAAACGAATGTAAAAAGCACTAGTAAATGACGGAATGTTTTTCAAGCGTTCTGTTCTTCTAGTAATGGTAAATAGTATGGCAACGTGTATCCTTCGCGTCTTTGCAATAACAGTATATGTTGAGGTGATGACAGAAATTGCCATAACATTGACGTTATTTCAGAAAAGGATGGTCGTTCGCTTGGTTCATCTTGCCAGCAGTTAAGCAATAATTGATGCATGTCGTTATTAACATAAGGCAATGGTTCGGGTCGGGCTCCATCTTTGATTCGATATATTAGCTCATTTGCATTTATTCTGGGATACAATGTACCGCCAATTGCCAAACATTCCCAAATAACACATCCAAATGACCAAACATCGCCTTGAACGGAAAAATGCTGGAATCGAAGCATTTCCGGTGCACTCCAACGGCTTAACTCAATCGCTTTTCCAGATGTATCGAAACATGGACCAAAGCAGGATATTTTTGGAATATTATCTCTTGTCATTCGTATACTGTGCGAATTGAGTTTACCGTGAATAAACTATGGATAATGTATTGATAATAATAATTATGTGGCGATTGAATTTATTTAAAGTATTCATGTCAATCTTGATCATACCTTCTTTTGGCTGAGAAATTCCATGGCCGTTGATAGTTCGCATAGTGTTTGTAAGATGAATAATTCTGAGAGTGATGAAAAATTCCTTGGATCAGTTGTTCTTGATTCAATCAGCACTTTTTTCAACGATTTATTTGTATCTTCGAATATGAAGTATAGCCAGTTGGTTGACTGGCATATTCCATAGAATTCAACAACATTTTTATGAGAATCTAGTTGAGCCAATGCTTTGAATTCTTTTAGAAATTGTGTTTGGCATATTGGTTCCATATCATCTGCGTGAAAAATTAAATAATTTCAAACAGTCTCCGATAAAAATTAAATTTTACACATTTTATTTGAAAAAACACAGAGATTGTTCTGTTCCTCTGATGAGGATAATGAAGAGGAGGAGAACGATGAGGAGGATCCTCCTCATTTGTCTCCTCGCCGTTCCTCTTCTTACAGAGGAACAATCTCTGGTAAAGAAATGGTCTATTTTTCCATTCATTTGCAAAATCAATTTACATACCGGAAATTACATGAACATGGCATGGCTTTCCTTCAAGTTTTCCACTTATTATGTCACCATACTGACCGGCTGCAATCATGTTATTGACTTCAAGCGCCAAATTGTTTCTCGCATGATTTTTATTCAAGTCAATTTGATCGAGAATCTCATTCAATTTTTGGTCAAACGTTTTTTGTGAAAAACCTTCGGATTGATAAGCATCATTGTTTTCCTGCACAATAACATTCATAACATAAGCATAAACTCAAAAACGAATTCAAAACGTAAATGTTTACGTACAACTTCCATTATTGGTCCTTGCAGTGTTAGTTCATGGTGATCGGATGGTAAGCGTTGCATTTGCGATGTCATTTTTAAGCGTAAGTATAAATATCCAACAACACTCAATACCAACAGTATGCTTAGCAAACTACATCCAATAAGAAGTACCATTTCCAAATTGTTGCCGTCATCTAAGAAATAAATCATATCTTTTTTTATTCATATATGTTACATGCGATAACTTCTTCGTAAAACATACCAATATTGTCATTATTAATTGGAACAATGAGTTCAGCATTTTTATTGGTCGCATCTCTTGAATAGCGTTTTTTTATCGTTTTTCCAAGTTGTGATACTATTCCCAATGAAACGTGCACATTTCGATCGGATGGTAATGGGACATTGTCATAGCCACCATAATTCAAGCCATTGCCAATGACAAATTTTCTCGCTGAACGCTGAAATATTCATCAAAAAAAAATTAACATCATTTATTTGGACAATTTTGATGATTGTTTCCACCTCATTTGCGAGTTCAGCGGTTATATAATAGCTTAGCCCATCATCTGACGCTTGTTTATATCCTTTCAATAGATTTTCGTCGAATTCTTGTAATAGTTCTGAGTCAACAAAAATGACCACAACATGAATCGCACTTATTGGCCCATTGTTATTGATGAGAGGCGGTATTTCGATTGTCATTTGCTTTCCGTTAGAGTTGAGAATTTGTGGCTGTGGAGGTGCTGGATCTGGTATATTTATGTCAGTCTCGCCAGTTTTCCAACTCATGCCACCTTCGCCTTCGTTTGAATATGATGTTACCGAAAAATTATACGTTGTACCTGAATGAAAGAAATGTTTTCACTTTTTAGACGGAAATTGTTGAAATTAGCCCATTTTGATGAGCTTGCAACATTTAGAGAGACACCTCCCACAATTATCTCACATAAATCACAAAATTAACGCATAATATTGCTAATTAAAAGAATAATTTACCTGGATTCAAATTAAATAGCTCATACTGAATGGTGTGACCAGTTTTCTCAACAGCCCATTGTGGTAATGGTGATAGAAGTTTCGATCCATATTTCTTAATGACATTGGCTCGAATAATATATTGTGTTAATGATTTCATTTGTTCAGGTGCCGACCATTGTATTAATATCGAAGAGTCCGTTCGATTAATGATTTCCAAATTTTGTGGTGGGCCCGGAACTTTAATGCCAGTGTCATAATAGCTTTGTGTATATGCACCTCCGCAGAATTCTTTCACGTTTTCTGTACATGGACGATCGCATTCATCGGTCTTTACTTCGGTTTCGTTTATAATATCAGTGCAGAAACATTCATTGCCTTTGAGAACTGCATATCTGCATATGTGCAAAATATAATTTGATAAAAATTTCTTAAATGTTTTTTTTTATTTTGTTTCGTTACAAACCGGTAGTAAATTGATTCACATGCATGAATACAGACATCGGACGATCCCGAAAAAATGACAAGTTTTTTTAAATATAAATTTTGTGAATAACATCCTTCAAATGATCCTCGATCACCTTTCACATTATTGATCACATTTATAACTGTGTATAGTATCAAAATTACTTTTAAAAAAGTATTGTAGTCGAAATATATAAATGTTCGATGAAACATTTTTCTTTTTATCGAATTCACTTGTTTGAAAAGTACGATATCATATTATGATTTGATTGCTATGAATCATTTACACAAACAATCGTCGGCTGGGGCGGCGGCTAAGATTTCAAATAAAGCTACCACAAATGCATAAGATTCGTGAATACATAAAATATGTCCAGTCTTCTATGTGAAATGCATTAAAAATATCAAATTCAATATGGAGTTTTCAATAAACTGGCATAAAAACTAAAGAATTTTTTTTTAACTCAAAATATTGTTTATAAAGCAATTTATTTTAATTAATGCATTTGATATCAATACACAATGGCTTCCATATTTGTATAAACTGTCATCGTTTTTTAGGGGGTCTATGATTGACATTCAAACAAATGACAGCATAATGTCAAATATGGAAAATGTTTGACAAAATGAACACAAAAGACAAATGAGATAAAAAAAGAATAAAGCGAATAAACAAAATCTGTCAAAACAAAGTTTAAAACACACAAACACAAAAAAAGTCAAATGTTTTTAGTTTAAGCAAAATTAATTTTTAAAAAAATGTGTAAATTTTATATTTTAATATGGCTTATGCTTGATTTTGTGATTGGATATTCGTTCGCCGAACGTAAGTAAATACCTTATTTCGTATGATTTGGGATATTATTAGACACATAGTGTTCAGCCACAATTTTTTTTGTCTCTATCTTATCGGCTTTATGATATTTGGGTCCTTAACACACTTTTTTCCACACATTTTTCAGTTAAACGTTGTAATACTGAAACAATTCTGCGAAATAAATGTCCAACTCTAACAAGATGTGTTGAACAACAGCCTGGAAGTTATGACGGTGTTTGTCAATGCATAAGTGGCTATATTTTCAATCCAAAATCAACTAGGTATGAGCTTGAGCTGAACTCTCCTCACAATTGAGAATGAAATAAAAACAAATATCAATAATTTTCAATTGATTTCAGTGATGATGACTATTGTAAAGTCGACGATTTAAGTAGGCATGAAATATCCAAAAAAAACGAACCGAAATGATAGCAGTGATGAAAAGATTGTGATCAATGACAAACCAAATGCACAACTTGAAGAAAAACTCAAATCACCACGACCACATCATAGTCATTTAGTTGCCGGCGTTCTTATACCAATAATTCTTGTTTTAATTGCGATTGGCGGTATATACGCATACAAAAAACTACATATCACACGACATATTCGCAATTCGGTTCGAACACATCGAAGTCGTCCATTTTATGAGGATGTTATGTTAGGTACCAATGATAATGATGATCCACCATTAATTTAATGTCAAAACTCAGACTCACAATTATTCCAGACTAGATATGTATACTTTTAGTATTAGGTGCTCTCACAATGCACACATGTGACGATTTTATGAATGGTGATGTAAATTGCAAAAATCGGACACACATGATTTTTGTTTATATGTTTAAATTTGACGAAATTATTATTGACATGTAAAATTATAATTTAATTTAAATCGAGAGAAATTGGTTGATATGATAAAATGTTCCAAAGTCTAATCATTTTTACTCTGTGTAATTCATTACCAAAGAATGTATTCAATCTAGTCTTTAATTCAAGCCATAGGCATCTGTACCAAATACCAATATCAATTTAATTACCAAATTAATGTTATGGATATATCAGCAACCAACCTTTGATGAATTTTATCTTCTCGACGAGAAAATGAGCATTTTTTTACATATATATATATATTTTAATAAATGTACGTTTTGGGTTTAATTTTTTTATATTTTTTTTTTGTTTTTAAATAATTTTTAAGAACATCTGTAAAACCTCTTACCATATCTTTATACTATAAACTGTTTCGCAGGACAATATATGTGAAGTTCTTCACACTAAAGAGGAGCTGCTGCACCTCACTGGAGGGGAGCTTCACTCCTCAATATGCTCCTCAGATTGCTTTTCTTTACACATATTGCTCTGAGAAACAGTATATCTGCCATATATTCACTCATTTTGTATACCAAAACTTAAGCATAAAATCTAAATTGTTATTGTTTGAAATTGTTTTGGCAGATACGATTTCAGTAAATTTTTATTCCAAATCGTTTTTAGTCATTCTGAATGATTATTCGTTAGATTCTAAGGATTCAATGAAATGATAACATCGATTTCGATAAAACTGCAAAAATATCTTTCATATGACACATTTTTGATCTAACTAATCAATTTTTAAGAATATTCATTGTTTTCAAATTATTGACCACCAAAAAGTTTTAGATTTGTGTAACAAAAAAAAAATCTTTCCATTTATTTGTAGTATTTTGATTTAATAATTCCAACAAAATGATTATTATAAAAAAGATAATAAAACAATATCAATATATGCCTGTGAAGACATGAGTATATTTCAACAATAATCATTGAAAATAAATGCAACGCCACCATTTTCCAATATGAAATTTCACAGTTCATTATATATTTCTCTATCGGCGAACTGGCCTCATTACGCTCTATGCGTGTGTCTCTGACTTTGTGAGAGCGCAAAAAAGCGAAGAACAGTTCATCGAAGAAAAAAAAGCATCACTCTAAGTAGATGCGACGATTTGGTTGGTATAGAAGTGCATTATTCCGACAATCCGATTTTAGTTTGACACACTGTCATTGGTTCCGAACATTGTTCGCATAACGGTTATATTTTGTCTGTCACTTCAATAAACGTGGTTCATGATTTAGTAATGTAATTTAGTTTTGATTTGATGTCACAAAATATGTTTCAATTTTTCAAATTCGTCATTTTTTCATCGATACTAATCAAGGTAAAATTACAAAAAAAAGTTTTATATTCCGTTCGATTGAATTATAAATTGTGATTCGATTTGTAGTATGCACTCGTCAATAGTGCTGGGCTTGATAAAAATGCGAATAATGCAGTTCATCAAACACCTGGAGCTGATGTAAATATTCACGATGTCAAACTAAATCATATTGCGCAAACATTGACTGAGATGAAAGGTCATTTAACCGATCATCAAGTGCATTACATTGAACCGATTCAACGAAAAATTAATGGTTTGGTAAAAATCTTGGATGTGTTTCGTCTATTTCATGCTGGAGCTCCAATAAATGGCATCATCATTGCGAACAATGTTAAAATCAAACCGAATAAAAACAATGTCATCGCACGCATTTTCTTAAACGGATGGATTCAATCAAATGAAACCTCAATTTCGACACTGATCGAACGTTTGAAGGCGGCCAATTTTAATTTAAGGTGTCGCATCGTATTTGAACATCAAATCAAAAAGCGATCAACCGCTGAAACAAATACATGGTCCGGACACTCGTTGCACATTAATAAATTAAAATTGATAGGTCAAGCGGAGAAAAATTTCAAACCAAAAATATTAAATGAACGCAACGCCGTTCATCGTTTGCATGGAAAATTGTCGACGAAATATTTGGTTGTTAAACATTTGGAGAGAATCGCCAACGGAATGGCCAACTGGCATATGAACGGTCGCACGAAACGTTCAACCACATTGTCATCATTGGATCATTCGAAAATTGTTCTAAATTCAATAAACAATATTAAATGGTCGGAATTTGTTAATACAGTGTATAGAAAAGGGATGAACACAACTATTGTTGGTATGCATATCGTTATTCTCACTTATTATCAATGGGTTTTTTTCAAATCGTAAACGTACATATTCGTTGCAGGAAATATTGTGTTTGAGAAACCAGCGCACACTACATTTTTGAATACAGCAGAAACAAACGGCATTAGAGTATTCGAATTAATGACAATGGCAACGGACCAAGTGATCCAGTCAAATGCTTTTATTAGAATGATTTTTGCAAATCATGTAAATGTACGGATTTTCAACGATATGAGAAACTTTGCAGATAATGTCGTATTATTAGGAACCGATGCCGTCATTGAATGTATGATTTTTTGTTTAGAGAACTTTAAAAAAAAAAAAGTAATTTCTTTTTTTGTATGGATTAAAATATATGATTTATTATTTGACTTTAGCTCGAGTTAAAGTGAATGAGTGCCATATTAGGGACAGCTTGCATCTGTCTGATGATGAAAGTGAACACATAACCGATCACATTGTGGGCACGCATTTGGATGATTTAGTACAAATTTACCACGGACGGGTATTAGTCAGAGGATCTGTTAATACGAATAATATCTCCGTTTCGAACCCGGATCAAGAAGAGACCATTCGCAGTCAAATCTTAATAAATGGCATACTATTTGATTTACCACATTTAAGCCATCAATATTGGATGAAAACAGTTAATCAGGTTTGTATTCAAAAATACTGGTAAATTTACATATTCATTTGATAGATGGAAGTTGATTCGAACTCTCATAGCTTCTGAAGTAACTTGAAAATTTATAAGAACAGTAACAAATCGAAAGAATTTTACTCGACGAAAAACTAAAAAAAAAAATTAAATTGAATTATGGAAAATCCTACCAAATTGAAAGAATTTACGTCTCTGTCAAAAGACCGGAAAAAGGTATTCAGTAGCTAGGAGTGCTTCTGACCAGGGGCGCGACTAAAAAAGAGCACTCAAATGGTTCCATTTATATATCGATAGATTTACTTCTACTCGGTACCTTAAGAATTTATCGAATACAATTCATCCGTTCAGATATGTGTGAAACAAAAAAAATCCAATTGTTTTGTATCAATTTCAGGATATCCCTCATGCAAATTTCAATGAACCCATCACAAGTCCACAGGCAACGATAAATCGCATAAATGGATTTTCAAGGACCGAATATTTCATACTGGATGATCAAATTGATTTTCTTCCATTGAATGTTGATTTTCAAGATGTCAAAATCAAAGGGAATTTATTTACCGATAAAAATTCCATGACCACATTACAAAAACTGAATTCGGATTCAATTGCACGATTGGGAAATACACAAGTCATAATGAATTCGTCAATTATTTTCAAAGATCGTCTGTTGGTTAATCACATGACATTACAAATCGATTCAAAGAATTTGGTTCGTAAATCATTGAATGGCATCGTATCCAATTCATTCTTAGCCGATACACCAATTCGAAAGCAATTCAAACAGAATTTACATGTAACAAATAACATAATTCCGGCAGATGTTGATTTCAGTAATTTTACAATTCATAACTACAATAATTACACGGATGTTTCGAAACATTTAAATTCCGTATTAATACCATCAAATAAGCCGTCACCCTGGCTGGTCATCGTATTTGAAACAAAGTGCAATGCACATTCAATGGATGTACAACACATTAAACATCGTTCAGTGCCTTCCTATGATATTCAGACAATTTTGCAGAGTGCATCACATACAGAACAACATCGAATCCAAAAACTAACAATTGAGGGAAACATTCAAATTGTTCATGAAAATACAAGCGAAGCACCAACGAATCCAACACAAATTACCCAACTGAATGGACTTGATTTAAATAAATATTTGCAATTAGTTGTTTTCAAACAAGGACCACAACAAAATCGGCACGAATCAATCGAAATTGGTGGTGAGAAAGGTTTTATGGCCGATTTGAATATTGCTTCGGTGCACACCTTCGAAATAAATAAACGTATTCAAACGGAAAATTGGCTGGAATCAGTTTTACGTCAACAGCCAGCCGATACAAATCAACAAATAATCGAATCAATGGGATGGCAATTTAATGAAATAACATCCGATAATTTACAAATGCAACATTCAATCAATGGCATTGGTATTATGCCAAGCGATAATACAACGGATCACATCATTTTTGTGAATCATCCACATGATCGTGAGACATTTTTAACAATTAATTCGGACATTTCGCTGTCAAATAATGGAAAAATTGGCTCAAACAGTGATGTTACATGCACTGAACTCAGACCATGCAATGTCGATCATTTACAATTGAAAACTGTAAATTTGCCACAAACTACATGGGATGAAATTAAAATTTTCGGAAATGTTAAAGTTCTTTCGAACGATATGAATGCAGATAAATCGATACGATGTACTAAACCATTATGCTATTTACAAATGAGTTTATCGGCAACGACAAATGAAATTATTAACGAGAATATCGATTTCAATTTGTTAGACAAGCACGATACATTTTCATTTAATAAAATCACATCACGACCGAGTCCGAATGAGAATGTGTTACAAGAGAAAGATGTCACCCAAATAAATAGCATTAATTTGGTGGAATTGGTTGAGGATTCTCTCACACGTACAACCGTAAATCCATCGAAAGATTTGAATCAAACACAATTGACCACATTTAGTACGGAAAAGGAGTTGCTTGGCACTGAAAATGTGTTTGATGCATCTAAAGGTGCACTTTTATCTGGCATTTTTTCCGTTAATTTAATTAATGATGTAAACGTTAATGCTCTAAATAATACATTATATTTGCGAAGCAAAACCGAAGAAATGCTCATTTCACCGTGGCAAAAACTCGTGTTCTTGGATTCACCTTCAGCACAAAATATGCAAATTGACAACAATCAAACGATTAACGGTGTTGGTGTTGACGATGTGTTCTTTGCATATAGTCCAGTATTCAATAAGAATTCATCGATGTTATTTGAACAAAATGTCCATGGTCAAAATGCACAGAATTATGTCAATCAAATTATTGCCGATGAAAGTTTTAATACACAACTTGTAAATGGAATATCTTTGGAATATTTTATAAATAATCGATGTAAGTTATCGATAGACCGATTTCCACATTCAGCAGTGTCGCATCGAATAAATAAACCGCAGATCATTGATGGATCTTTTACGTTTGAAAATTTGGTGGTAAGCGGCAATGATGTGAAAATTGAACAAATTAATGATGTTACATGCGATGAGATTGTGTTAACACATTCAACGGAAAAACAACAAATAACCGGCTTCAAAGTAATCGATGGCAATTTACCATTTTTATATGTTGAAAAACCATTTCACGTATGGAAAACAAATAATCATGAATTTGTTTCGATGTATGCAAAAACAATATTGTTAAATCATAAGCAATCAATTGGTCGACTGATTGTAAAACAACCATTCCAAATCAAAACGAAAACTGCAAATATTTCACGAAATTTAAATGAAGCAACATTACCCAAAGATTAATAAATGATTTTAACAGTCATTTTATAAGTGGGGCTGCCATCTATTGAATTGAAGTCACATTACATCAATCAAATGTCATTTATACTAATATTATTATTATTATTGAGAAAAGAATATTTTGTCAAATATTATTCCTATCTATTGTTCAAAACAAATGAATCTATTAATTTTTAAAACAAATCTATATTATAATTATTAAAAGCAAAAATGTTGCTAGATGAACAAGGTGAGCCAAGTTCTTTATTTTTTTTTTTTTTTAATGTGATAATAATAAATTTGTTGTTATTTTGTTTTTTAAAATTCGTTTGTTTTTTTTTCATTTAATTGTGAAAATGTTCATTAGTCATTTCCGGAGAGCAACAGCTAAAACAATTTGCCGCATTTCTTAAAGTGCATCAAGATGCATTGAACGATATTAATTCAAAGTCTCAAATCATTCAAACTGATGACCGGAATGATAAGAGAAATTGTTCGATTTTGACAAGCAGCGAAAAGAATTCACTTCAATTACAATCGAATTCATCAGTTGGCATTCATTTTTCATATGCGGCCGAATCAATTTCAACCATCGAACTCATACAATCCGATAATAAATGTTTGAACAAAACAATTGCGGTGTTCGTTCAACTATGCATGGAAGTGCGGGAGCTGTGCAAAGAAGGTAATCCATTGATGGTCAAATGTTTATTTGCCAACGAAGAATTGTATGAGTATTTGCAAAAAAACGGTGAAAATGATTATATCGAAACATCTGTTGGCCACAAAGAGTTTGCAAAAATCGATGAAATTTCTTTATCGGCTGAGATTATAACGAAAATAAACAGTGTATTGGGTGTACTACTTCAGGCACAACAGTTCATTGAACGTTGCTTCATTGTCATTTTGGAAATAATTAAACAATTTACAGCGTTATTTGATGTCAATTCAAGCACCTACATTAACGTTGACTATTCTTCATTGCATTTTCAAGTGAGTACTTTGGCTTGTGATAAATCGGAACTTTTGTAAAACTTGGTATTTTGAATTTTAAAATAAAATGTCTTGGATATCTAGACGGTGTTCAATTATTTAGCCGAAACGATCGTTCTGATAATTAAATTCGATAGCATCTTTCAAGCAAGTTCACTATTGAATTTTTGGCCACAGTATATGAATGCAATTAAATTAGCCGAACAAAATATAAATATGATGTCATCGTCACCAAATAATGTCAAACATAGATTCAGTGATATAAGCGGTTTGAAGAATGTGCTATCGAAAATCGATTATCTACTGTCTGGCCACTTTGCATTCCAGGTAAGGTCAACATAAATTCAATGATCAATTTATTGTTTGGCGGTATTTTTTTTTTCGGAGTAGAATTTGATCGACAGCATATCCAGTTATCAAGAAAAGCATCAAACAACGACACAAGCATTCGCAAAATTTAGCATTCAGTTTAATTCATATTTGAGAAATTCATTGAATGTATTGCAACGGGCAGTAAATAATGCATCGAATCAAAGTCGAAATACATCAAATTTATTCATGTGGAATACATTCAGTGCTGATGATATATCGAATGAGACATTGTTGGGCGTAATCGATGACACCGCACTAGATATATCAAATTTAGTCGTGAAAATGAACGTAATGTGCATTTTATATCATCATTTATTTGGAAATCTTGACCAGAAACTATTCGCCGCTGTCATTGAAAGCAACACAAAGGTATGTTATTTGATGCAATTAATAATGATCGCTGCAATCATGCATACATCAAATCACATAATGACTACCCTCACTTGCTTTCTATATCACCTGTATATTTTTTTTGAGCTTCACGTTCCGAGCGACATCTCTATGTGCTTGGCATTGAACTCGCGATCCAAACGAGCACCAAAGGCAATTAAAACATTTTTTTTTTGGTGCGAAAAAGTCAAAAATGTCAACTGATTTTGTGTGAAGAAAAACCATGTGATATGCAACGTCCTCGCAGTTAATTTCGATGACACAAACTGTGCAAAGTAATTTCAATTTATTTTCCATCACAAATTCACTAAATACAAATAATAAATCGGTTTTTGTTCAATTTACACGGTATATCTTTATCGAGCGTAAAATGACAGACGTCACAACAAATGATTCCGTATTCAAACTTCAAACAATTAACATTCTACACAAACTTTTTGTTCTAATTTTCATGAGCACATAGAGATGGCGCCATCATGCAGTTTTTTACATTATTTGCCATTGTAAGTGATGGTAGCATAATGAAGTCTTACAAGTCAATGACTATGACACTAAATCACTAATATGGATCCCGTTATTTTCACAAATAACCAAACGAATTCAGTTTTGTACATAAATATATTTATCCCATGTTATTTTCATTTTTTATCACACTCCCATCATATCCAACACCTAGTGACGGACATTTTTGGGGGAGTAGCAGCAAAAACGCGTAGGGCCTTCTCGTAAGAGCTGACTGGCCAATTTTATTCTTCGGATTCGGATCAAAATTGATGACTTTTTTTGGTTCCTCAATTTTTTGACAAAACCCCACAGAAAATCGAAAGATTTTCTTCTCGACGAAAACCTTAGCAAATCAAAAGAAAGTGAAAAAATCGAAATTTTTCTAGGGTTTCCAACAATTTTTTCCGAGTTCCGAATTTTTGTTAGAAAAAAAAAACACCGAACCCTGGAAACACTCGTCAACACTTATCATACTCATAAAAAACAAATCCAAAAAATCTAAAAACCTGCTGGATACCTTTCTCTAACCAGACTTTTATTGAAAAAAATACTCCCCCCAATTTATCGATAGATATTTAGTAAAGGTGCAATGGTATCAGTTGCAAATTTAATTTCAATATTCATTCAATTTCTTTCAGTTTCCATGTGTTCTCTTGATGGATAATGTGGTGTGGTCGCCCGAATTGTTTTTAAGTACATTTGCATCGACATTGCTTGCTAAACTTCGCGGTGGAAGTGAAAAAATGTCCTCAGCCAATTTATTACGGACCCAACAACAATGGCTGCAAATGATGTGCCAACGATTATCAAAAGATATGCAATATCATATAGTTCAGGTTGTAGCACACTTAAATTCAGTATTATTTCTATTGAATATATCGAGAAGAGAGTATGTTATTCAGCGCTTATGGCTGAGTAATGTCTGAATAAAAACATACTCTCCTCTCGATATTTTCAATAGATTTGATGATTGAACGAATTTCGAAATGAATTTGTCTTTCAGACCGTGCAATGGACAATAAACTGTCGTAATGAATTTTGCTTTGATGGTGGCATAAAAAATTCAAGCCAAACGTCATCAAATCTGGACGTAAAAATATCCGATTTGAATCGAAAAACATTATTAATTTTACAGGTATGTCGCCAAAAAGAACCTTGCTTGAACAAAAAAAAATTGACATTTTGCTGAATATTTTTTTTTTACCCCATTTCAACAGGGAATCGATTTTATGGAAAAGTATAAAAGTGTAATCAATACAATCACTCATTTTCACGTGCATATAAAATGTGCAATGACAAAACAAACCATCCTATCCGTTTGTAAACTAATGGAACTGATGAAATTGGTGAAAATTACATTGAAAACTTATTCAACTGAAATATTCAACACAACTTTGAATTTATCACAATATCAACTTTATCAAGCACTACATGTGATAACAATTGCTAAGGTATTTACAAATCATGAACTTGTACTGTAAAAGACACGAAAAATGTGTATCCAATGATGTTCTCTTTTGCAGAACAATTTCCAAGCGACGTGCTCAGCAAACTCTTTGGTGTATAATGAAAGAAACATAGACATTTTGTCTGCTTTGGAGCTATCTCAATCAGTTTTGATTGGTTCGCCAAATATAAAGCGAATTCTTGTGGCTCGATTGGCTTTAACAATGGCTGATCCAAAAGAAGTCTTTCAAACTGAACAGCTGAATAAAATTTGCCGACTATTTGTGTCATTGGAACGCCTTATTCAGTTATCGGATATTCTTCAAGACTTATCATCTGAATCGTATATGATGAGGTATGAATTGGTTATTAAAACACTTTAAACACGTCCATTATCGCATTGTGTCTCTTTAGTTTTCAGGATGCGATCCTTCCAATATACTCTCGTTACGTGATCGATGTCAATGAAGCTGCAGATTGCGAGAAATTGCAGGTATTGTCACTCTAACAATGTTGCTTTGAAATCAAGACTCGATGAATAAACGATTCAACTTTTCACAGTATTTATTCGGTTCAATGGTGGAATGTTATTTTGATTTGATGTCAGGAGCGTCGAGTAATCATTTTAAAAGTCCCATCAAACTGGCAAAAGATACAAGTAAAATCGTAAATGAATATGTGATTGCAAGACTGTGTGGTTTTATTGAGACAACACTTCGATTGGATGTGCATACCAGCATGCAATTACTTCAAGTCGAAAACATTGATCCATTTAATGCAACCACTTCAAGTGACACACAACATATTCCAGTCGGTTATGTGTATCGATTGTTGGCTTTAAAATTGATTCCAGTGCTGCGAACGCATTCCAAAGAGCCATTTACAAAAAGCCGATATTTAAGCATTAGAGACCACGTTAATAAGTATTTGAGCCAAATGTTTTACAATTTAACAACGATATCAATGCATGATTGGCGCACTTATTTGGAAATGCGAATTTTGGCAAAACAAAAATTCAATCTGGAATCGGTGGAAAATCATTTACCAATACAAACGCTCGAACAAGGATTGGATGTCTTGGAAATTATGCGAAATATTCATTTATTTGTTTCAAATTATTTATATAATTTGAATAATCAGATTTTCATTGAGAAAAATAGCAAAAATAAACATTTGAATACCATCAATATTCGGCATATTGCAAACTCGTTGCGAACGCACGGCATTGGTATTATAAACACAACGGTTAACTTTACATATCAATTTCTTCATAAAAAATTCTACATTTTTTCACAATTCTTGCACAATGAACACATTCAGTCGCGACTGATAAAAGATCTTAAATTGTTTCGTGAGGCAAATACAGAAAAATCCGAAGATCAACAAATATACAGCTATGAACGTGCCAATAGCTTGAATCGGAGCATTCGACAGCTTGGTGTATCGAAAAATGGACACAGCTCATTAGATTTATTTCGTCAACTGATTACGCATATCGGTAAGCTGTTTTGAAATTAATTCATTTCATTTATTTTTACATATTCATTTTTTGCATCAAGGAAATGCCATGGGATATATACGAATGATGCGATCAGGTGGAATTCATTGTTGTTCAAATGCAAGTGTTTATTTGGCGATTGCCCATGACGAATTGGGATTGGATGATATAGGTGGAAAGGATATAACCAAAAATTCTGCCGAAAATCTTGTAAATGAGGTGGCACATTTGCACCACAACTACGCTGAATCAACCACCGAATACTTTCATGTAAGTGTTATGGATTTTTTGTCAAAAAAAACTGACATTTTCAAACGAAAATTTTAAATTAATTATTGCAGCTACTTGTCGATGCATTTTCATCATTTTTCCGCAACGATAAAAATCCACACATGAAATTATTCTATTTAATTGTGCCGGCATTGATTTTAAACTATATCGAGTATATCGTGACGGCCAAGGAGAATATGAACAAAAAATCACGTGAACAGAGTACATGTTTTACGGATGATGGATTTGCAATGGGATTGGCATATGTGTTAAAACTTCTTGATCAAAATACGGACTTTAATTCGTTGCACTGGTTCAAAGCGGTTCGTCAAAAATTTACCAGCGAAATAGAGCAATTGGCCAAAGTACGTGAAGAAAATAGCTATAATAGTCAAGATGCAAAACTTCAACAAACACTTGCTCTGAGTGAAAAGCGTATTAATGTCATTCAACACGAGTTTGACTCATTCTATTGCAGTTTAAACAGCGCAAAAATATTCTTTCAATAATAAATGACCAAATAATAAAATGAAATGATTGAAAAAAAAAACTTGCAAATTTAATGTTTACTGAAATTTTTTGTTCATCAGCAGCTGGAAAACAGTCACTTTTCAAACATATTTGACAGAGTAGGTGTTTGTAGGTGGCGCCACCGATTGGATATAAAAATCAAAATGTTTGAATCATTTGACAATCTTTTAAGGCGTTGTGACAGTGAACATGATACATACACGCACAAACACATACACATACATATATATACGCGAAACGATTGCATTGAATTTCTTGCAAAAATTCTTCTGCATTTAACTACTTTGAAAAAGGTTTGAAAAACATGTTCAATTTTTTATTTGTGCAACACAAAACTTGGCAAGTGAACGAAACACATTTCGGTAATCGAAACGAATGAAAGTTTAAAGGTAAGAAATTCGTATTGTGTGGAAAAAGTGGGAAAGAAAAAAAAAATATTTAAGCATAATTGGTGCCTACTTTCTGGTAGTGGAATATAAGTACGAATGAGAAAAAAAAAACATCAAATTTGGAGACAAACTACGTATAAATGCAAGACTAACCAGAGAAGATAGCGAAAAAAACAACAAAGTGCGCGAAAAGTCTTTGATTTGATATTTACACGCAAGATGGATGACAAATTATAAAATTGCTTACACTTCTATTCATTTCTAATGCAAAATTTACGAAATTAGTGAAAATCCAATTATTCTTTTTCCATGTAAACAATTTCAGGTGGCATTCAAAACATGAATTGTTCAACCATACCATGTCACATTTAGTGTAACACAGCACCAAGATTAACAGTACTGTCAATAGTTTTTTTTTATTAGCACAACACGAACTATTACCTATTTAATAATTGAAAAGAAAAAAAAGAGAAGAAATAAAACAACAACAACACGAAGAACATAAATCCCTAATAAAACTGTCCAGTTAATACGCTGTTAAAAAAAAACAAATTGGTGTTTTTTAATGACAAATTATTGCTTTCGAATTTAATCAACCTAACCAACTTTAAACCACATACGTGCAAAATAGTGATGTTTGTATATATTGTGGCCAATGATGACGGAATCTAGTATAATAAATAAATAGTGTGTAATCGTGAATATTCTCTCAATTTTCATTTTTGGGTGTGTTTTGGAAAATAATCGTATATATATTATACAAAAAAAAAAGAAAAGAAATATAGACATTGTTTTGACAAGTGGCAAAAATGGCATATCAAAAACCCACTAGTATCGACGAATTCGTTAGCATAATGGCTAAAGCCGATATGCGGGTTAAGACACAACTTGCTGAAGATCTTGTTGCCTATTTAAATGATCAGGACAATTCGATTGTTTCAAATGACTTGGGATTATTAATCGACAGTTTGATGCCATGGCTGACTGGGAGTCACTTTAAGGTAACTCTATATATTTATTATATTCGATAATGATTCTTAACTGGCTTCGTTAATTAAATATCAATGCCAATCAAAATGCATACCATACCATATATATATATATAACAAAATCGTTTCATCTTGTGATTAAAACGTCTCGCAAAGAATGAGTCCATAACGTGAATGTTCGTTTCAAATTATTAATTAATAGTAATATGTTAACAAAAATGTCAATGTCTCTGGACTATCATCTTCTTTCTACTTGAATTTTATTCATTCTCTTTGCGTGTTTCGAGTTTTTTGCTTCGCAAAGAAAACACCCGTGATGATGCTACAAGCTATAGCTTATCTTTTATCTCATTACAAAATGATAATTAATCAAATTTTGTGCTGCTTTCTATTTTCATCCATATAATCAGTCATATAAACATAATATTATCAAGTCAAATTCTACTGAATCTGATTGTACTAAATTGCATATTAACACACTGTTTGTTTGTTTTTGTTGTTGTAGATTGCACAACGTGCTCTCGAAGCATTTATAGAGCTAATAGGTCGTTTAGGACAAGATTTCGGAGCATATACGCCAACAATTTTACCGCATGTAGTGGATCGTCTTGGTGATAGTCGGGACACAGTTCGGGAAAAGGCACAGATGCTTCTCCAAAAACTAATGGAGCATCGTGTCATTTTACCACAACAATTACTTGACAAATTAACAATATGTTTCAAGCATAAAAATGCAAAAGTTCGTGAAGAATTTTTACAAACAATCGTAGATACATTAAATGTGTAAGTATCAGATGCAATTGGTTAATTTTTTGATAAAATAAAAACTCGTTTTATCATCAATTTCAACACAGGCACGGTACACAGGTATTGTCAATGAAATCATATATTCAGCCCATCGTAAATCTATTGGGAGATCCGAGTGGTCCAGTAAGAGATGCGGCGATACAGAGTTTAGTTGAAATCTACAAACACGTGGGTATGTATTGTAAAGCCATTGTCACTGAAAGGAAAAAACAAAGATTTTCATTTAATTTTTTGTGTTCGTTTGTTTAATTTTCAGGAGACCGACTGAGAGTTGATCTCAGGAAGAAAGAAATTTCGGCCGCAAAAATGGCGATTTTGGAACAAAAGTTTGACGAAATAAAAAATAAAGGACAATTGATGCCATCTGCATTAACAACAGCTATCTCCAACAGTGACGAATTGGATAATGTTGGCCAAGTGAGAAATGTTAGCCGATTGGTTAAGCGTACGGTATCGTCAAATGTTCGAAAGCCACAGTCATTGGATGTACAAAGTAAATGAAAAATTCAATTTTCATCAAGTTAAATTTTGAAGAAAAGAAAAAAAGAAAAGAAAATTCTTAATCCGGCTCTATGTGAATTGTTTTCAAATTAGGTGATGCAGGTGCAGTAACAATGGACATTTTTGAAGCATCATTCGAACTCGTGCCTCAAATAACGATATTTAATCAACGCGACGTTGATGAACATTTAAAATCGATCAATACGATAATTGGTGACAAAAATATGGATTGGGAGAAACGGGTTGATGCGCTTAAAAAAATTCGTTCATTGCTAATGTTAAATGTTCACACTTCACCCACGTTTGCCATTTTTCTTAAAGAAAATTTATCGATGTCGTTTCTTGATATATTGAAAGAGTTACGTTCACAAGTCATTCGTGAAGCATGTATTACCATCGCATATATGTGCAAAGTGATTCAAAATCGTTTGGACTATTTTTGTGTGCATATATTTCCCGAGCTTATCAATTTGATACAAAATTCGGCAAAAGTCATTTCATCGGCTAGTACAATAACTGTAAAATATGTCATCAAATATACGCATGCACCAAAATTAGTTCCAGTTATGACACAAAATTTAATGCAATCAAAGTCAAAAGACATTCGTGCCACATTGAGCGAGGTAATGTATTATCTGTTCGAGAATTGGTCAACGAGAACATTGGAAAAATTCTCGATCAATTTGAAAGAAGCATTGAAGAAGGGTATTAGTGATGCCGATAATATGGCACGCAAACATAGCCGAAGGTTTGTCACATTTTTGTTTGTTTTGTTTGTTTTTTTTTTTTTTCATAAAATATATTGTTTTTTTGTTTGTTTTTGCAGGAGTTTTTGGGAATTTCGTCGTCATTTTCCTGATCTAGCTGACAGCTTGTATATTACACTTGATTCGCAAACACAAAAAGCATTGGAACGAGAACGTGATGGCGGAGAATCGAATGGTACAAATTCGATGAGTGCTAGTCTTCGTGGCAGTAATAGCAGTTTGAATTCAATTCCAAACAGTGTCATAAGTAGGTGTCATTTTACACAATCACAGCAAAATATTTCTTTTTGAGCAAGTTTTTAAAAAAAATCACCTTTTTTCCATCATTTTCAAACATAGAACGTCGCCAATTCACTGGATTACGAAGTCCAGCAACTGTTGCTCCATCTGGTATGTTGAATATCCAATCGTTTTTAGTTTTCAGACATTTTTCTCGTTTTCAGTTTATTATTTGTGTAGTTTGAAGGAATTTTTGTTTATCAACGACTTCTTCTGTAAACTATCTCTATCTAACTCCTCTCTATTTATTGTTTTCGATTTATAAAGACCAATTTATTCTTTGGAAATAGCACAGACGCATTTTGACCAAAACATCAACACAACCATATTATTTTCTCTGAGTTTTAACGAAAATCACAAATTTCTATCAGAAATTATAAAGTCCTTTGTCGTTTCTTCTTTTCTTTCCACTTAATAACTTGCCTTCATATGACGAAATTCTTTAATATTGAACTGGAAAAACGATCAATTAATCAACAATCGCTAAACACAATTCAGCAAGTGCAAGTAGTGAAAATCTAGTGACACCAATAGCACCATATGGTAGCACTAGTCGTCTTCACCGAGTACCATCGTTACCAAAAACTCGTAATAAAAGCGGTATACCCGTGCCCACAATTCAACGAGATTTATCTCAAATTAATGCTCTTCGAGGTTATTTCAGTCTAATACTAACATCTTCTGTTTGAAAAAAAAATCATGATATTTGTTTGTTAATTATAACAATAAAAAACTAAACCATTATACTATTTAATATAGGTGGAGTTCGAAGTATCTCAGCATTAGATACAGCGGCTGTACAAAGAGCTAGGGCAAGACAGCAATATTCAACGATGGCTCGATTGAAAGTAACGCCCGGAACCGCTTCACTGCGTAAGTTTAAGCATTTTTCATATTAAAAAAAAAAAACAAAACAAAAAAATATGTGTACACAATGGCATGGCAATGATTTGATTATCTTTATTAAATGCTGAACAAATATGGATATGCACACTTTTCTTAAATGTAGAAGGTCAAATAGCTCAGCAAGGTAAACTAGAGTAAACGTATTTGTCTAACAAAACTTTCATATTCATATCAATCAAATTCAAATGAAAACAATATTCCATTTTCCATTCCAATATTTATGCAGCTCGTGCTAAGAAAACTCCACAGAATACACCGAGTCAAACAACACCACAAGTTGAATACCGAAGCACAGTTCGACGAAGTAGTGGTGTTAGCCAATCACAACGTAAGAATTTTGAAATTTATGCACACAAAATAGAAATTTTTAATTATGGATTGGTTGTTTTTTGTTTTTGATAAATTTAGCAACATCACGGAGTACATCCCCTTCATCGCGACTATATAGCATGCCATCAGCATATAGACAAACCGGAACTATTCCAAAAAAGACTCCAGTCATTCCACGATCGCTTGTCAATTCACGTGAAACTAGTCCAACCAGAAATGGCGTACATCAAACTGTTCGTCGTCTCGGCTATCTACCAAGTCACAGTCCCCGTCGACAAGAACGACCACCAATCATTCCATCTAGACCCGTTTTAGCGCAAAAAATTCTACAAGCAAGCCGTGAAGCGGAATCTGCTTTGGCCGATGCTCTTGTAATAACACCGACTCATTTTTCTTTTGAATTTTTCGACAACTAAAACGATGTCCATTCTATTTTAATTTTTAGTCACCGGAAGATGCAGATCTATCAAGTGAATTGGGTCGTTTACATCTGCATCGTAAGATATCCCGTGATGAATCTGACGATAGTGAAGCATCATCAGTATGTTCCGAAAGAAGTTTTGACTCGTATCGACGCAACGACGTAAGATTTTCGTGCAGCTTTCACTTATATATTCTTACTTACAAAAAAAAAAATCGTGTGTTTTTCATTTGTTTAGTCTGGTTCGTGGAATGGATCAAGAAGTAAATTAGATCGCACATTAATTGAAGATATTGACGTAATCATTCAACTATGTTCGTCCACACATTGGGCCGAACGAAAGGATGGCTTGACAAACTTAACCGCATACCTTTCAGATGGAAATCAATTAACACCAGATCAACTGAAGGTAACGCATTTATCTTATTTTTTTATTTAAATACAATTTTAATTGATCCATAATATTATTTCTTCTCCACAGAGCATTTTAGATCTATTTCGAAAAATGTTTATGGATAGTCACACAAAAGTTTACGCTCTATTTTTGGATACCGTTAATGAACTTATCATTTTGCATTCAAACGATTTACACGATTGGCTTTTTATTTTGCTGACACGACTTTTTAATAAACTTGGTGCCGAACTATTGGGGTCAATGCATAGTAAAATATGGAAAACCCTCACTTTGGTGCATGAATATTTTCCAGCTGAGCTTCAATTGAAAGCGGTTTTCAGGTAAACATTTTTTTTTAAATAATTTCGTATAAAGAAAATAATTGATAATTAATTTGATAATATTTTTATTAGAATTTTGGTTGATGCTGCCCAAACGCCAAGTATAAAGACCAAAATTGCTGAACTCAAATTTGTTACAAATTTGGTAACAACATATTGCCGTAGCGATAATTTTCCCACACAACCAGCTACAAATAGGGCAATACAAAAGATTCTTCAATTGGCTAATGATCAGAAGAGTGTCGAACTGAGAAGTCAAGCCCGGTCCTGTTTAATTGCTTTGTATAATTGCAATACAGCTGAGGTTTGTAGAATACACTTTTTTTTACCATTTTTCGGTTGACGATTGGAAGTGTAACTGGTGAAGAAAAATGAGAATTGACAGAAGATTTCAGCAAAGTATTATCCCAGTTATACAATATCTTCGATCAATGAAAAAACAGTATGTCTTACTTAGACATATGTCATGTGTAGCACTTTTAATGAAAAATCATATCAAAATAAATATTTATATCAACAGATGACCGAAATCTTGAGTGGATTACAAAAACAATACAACGATTTAGCGAAAACAATCATTCAGCAACATTTGCGGCGAAATACCTCTGGCACAAGTAGTCCATCATCGCCAATGACTTGTTCAAGTCCCAAATTGTTAAGTCCGCAACTGGGACCTGCAAGTTTGAATAATTATCCTAGTAAGTACTAATACATAACAACATTAACATTATAATTCGAAAAAAAAATATCTAATAATCATTATTCGATAGGTCCGCGATCGCGTCAATCATCAGTAGAGAATAATGATAGTACCATGCAAATGAATACAGAAGAAGTGTATCGTAGTCTCCGTAAAACAACGGCTGAAATCCAGAACTATAGTTTTGAAACAAAATTGGGTCGTGATACAAATAGCAAAGACTCTGGAATTAGCCAAATGGATGATCAACAATTGGGTGCGGTACCATCAAATGAATTTGTTCGACAACAACAGCAACACTTTAGTATGAATCCACCACAACACAGCGCAATGAATGGTCATAATGGTGGTTATTTCTCTTCTGTGGACAAAGAAGATTCATGCAATGGTTCCAAAACACAATCGGCCACAACAACCGAATCAAATACACCAGAGAGTACAGTGCGCATTGATGGTGAAATGATATCGCGCAGCTCATTCATAGCAAAACATTCGAATAATGTTACCATTTTGCCAAACGGTGAACTTGTTACAGAATGTAGGTGTCGAACATTTAATTGAACGCTCTAGAATAAAAAAAAAACGCACTGAATGGTTGTTATATCAAAGCGGAACACCAACCATTCTGTACGTTGTTTTTATTCTAGAGCGTTCAATTTTTGAATCGAGTTTCAAATCAAATTTGAAATACATTTTTTTTTGTTCGTTTAGGGGGTGCAAAAGAATCCGATATTGTCAATGATGCACTACTATTAAACACAAGTATGTCAAATGAGCACATTGTTCAAACATTAGCCGATTTATCGACAGTCATCAAATTAGGTAACTGTGAGCTACCTGTGAAACATTTCAAGTGAGTATTCATATAAAATTTGAATTCGCTTTCATTTGTATAAATTATTATTGATGAATGTATCGATTTGTTTACAGAGCCATTATGAAAATATTGTTGGAACTCCTTGGTTCGCAGCAAACTGACATTATTCTAGCTGTAATACATACGCTGTCGAAAATATTGCGAAGCGATCGTATGAAGACTAGCTGGTGCAAATTCTTAGAATTAATTTTGCTAAAAATAATTGATTGCTATAAAACACACAAAGATGTACGTGAGAACCATTTTTTCTTCTTCTTCTCTCTCTCTCTCTCTCTCTCTCTCTCTCTCTCTCTCTCTCTCTCTCT